CCCCCCCCCCCGACATCTTTATTGTAATGTGGATGGGTTCTAGCTTGAGTGAAAGTAGAGAATACCCACTTAACTAGCTATGGAGGTAATAGTAATAACAATTAGTGTATTTGTATATTACTAGATAAATTTAATCCTTCTAGGACATGGTGTTTTGGGACAGCTTTATTCACAGTATGCTTGGAGGCCTGAATTAGCCAGTTCAGGTACTGTTAACACCAGTGTAGCATAGAGCTCAGTGCAGGCTTGAAAAGAAGAGTAAATAGGTTAGTACAAGATGTGGGCTTTGCTAACTTGGTTAAGCCCCAACAAGTATATCTCCACCGTAGTTCTCAAACATACCCACAGTTAACTAGTATCTATTCCTAGGTATTTTTAAAGAGAGCTCCTGCACCCCAACTACCCACTTTTTTTGGCAAAAAAAAAATCTCAAATCTACTCATGGTGTTCTACAGCTTCATTTCTTTACCTGAATGATAGACCTCTTCCTAGGCTTTGCTTTTTAAATAGCAAATGGTGGCTGCCTCATTGCTGAAGATATTTAATGCATGGCTTTTTTTTCTTTTACTCAGGCCCACCTGCAAATAAAGCTAAAACTCAAGCTGCACAAGAAAGATACAAAGGTACAGAACGAGAGAGACTCCTCTACTTCTAGTCTTTTTAACAAAGTGTTCAGTGGGTGTTCTGAACTGTGGCTTAAGACTGAATTGCAGCAATATTTCTATGACTACCACACTGATGTAATCACCACTAGTTCGACTTGTGCACCAATCCAAGTACAGGACATCAACTGTAGCTTTGGACATACAGCTTTTAAACTCAGGAAATGCTACATGTGGCTCATGTAACAGTATTACTAGAACTAGATACATTAACAGGATCCTAAAACACTATTTTTAAGAGGTTTCTTTTTCTTTAAGAACTGTAAGCCAGCTATATCACAAGTTGAATAGCTTTTTCCACGTTGGTGATGTGTGTATGAGAATGGACTGCCAAACCACTGACACAACTTTTAAATGCAAGTCAATGCAATTTTTGGCTCTATTTTTAAGGGGGAAAAGCCATCACTCAAGAGGTTGTAATATTTTAGTAACAATTGCCAAAACATTGTGTATATACTTTATTATAAAATAGCAATTTTGTAGTTCAAAATTCAACACAAATGCAATAAATTAAATTTATACATTTCAAAGTGAACAGTAATCTACTTCAGAAAGTTGGAGGCTTCATGAGAGCTTGTTCCCCAAAAACCTGCTTAAAGAAGTTGACATGTTCTTCGCAATGTTCTCCTACAAGCAAAAAGAAGAGTTGACAGAAGTGCTACTTACTAGCAGGCCTCAATGTTTCAATTTTGCTTTGTACTGAGTCAAGTTACAGATCTCTCTCTCTCCTGTTACATTACAAGTATATAACATGGTTAAGTTGTGTACATGTTTTGAAGGTAAGCGGTAATGTTGGCTTTGAATATCTCAAAGACTTAATTACTACAGAGGAGATGCATAAGTCCTATCCAACTATTTTGACGGTAGGTATGCTAGGAAAGCGTATATAGGTTTCCACTTCATAAAAACAAAACAAAAAATCCTACTCCTGTGGACAAGGCACCTCTTTAATTAGGTAATGCTTTTAATGTAGATAAAACTGAAGGACATGTTAGATTGTTACTGAAAGATGTTAAATTATTAACAAATTCTCCAGATTCCTATGAACACACAAAAAAACGTGAATTAAGGTACTAAAGATAATATCTATCCCTTGATGAATTACTTAACAATCTTAGGAAGAATATCTTAGGGGGGGTTTTGGTAGACAGTAAACCATCATGGAAGATGAGTTATTACCCAGAAAATTAAAGGGTTAAAAAGCAATTAATATATAATTAATTAAAGCCATAATATAGTAGCCTCTCGTCTTTCTGAGAAATAATAATAAACGTAGCAGTTATCTAAAAGTGGATTCTTAAGATGTGTACTAAAGACACATTCAGTAAACTTTGTTCTTCAACTGAGAAGCACATTCCAGGGCTGTCCAGCTTGAGTGGCTGGGGCCATACCTGAATGGTCAATATAGGCTGCAGGGATCCTGCAGGCTGTGCTGCCCCTGGATGTGAGAAGGCAGCAGCAGCTAAAAGAAGAAGGAGCCTGTAGGGCAGCTATTAATCCCTCGGGCTGCTAGCTTGACAGCCCTACCATTGCTTATTACCAGCCCTCTTATGGCTAAGCCTGGCATGAACATAACTAAAAATTCACTTGAGAGAAAGATCCAACCTCCAAGTTGCTAATTGAAGAGTAAAGTAGTAGCTGGTTTCCCACACACCACTTCTTTTTTTAAACAAACACCGTTTAGATATTTAAAAGGTCACTTGACTTTGAGGCCCTCCTTACCTGGTGTAAAGCTAGGATTCCCCCGTAATCGTTGATTTCTTTGTTCAAAGAACCTGAATATAGTATAGAAAAGCATGTTATCTTCCGTCTGTCTGGCTGCATCAAGGAACTTGCGGGCTGAAATGCTGTCATGTCCTCCAATACCTCTGATGAATCTCAATGCAGCCAGTACCTGGTGCTTAGATAACAGAACTTCTACTATTTCATCATTAGCTGTAGAAAGTCTCTGCAAAAGTCAAACAACATAACTGTTTTCACAGATGTAAATTATTTTGTCTCAAAGAAATGTAGTGAGTCAAGAACTTCCCATTTATCTGTTAAACTTATGTGAATGGGTAACCTACAGAAAACAAATATACTTACAGACTCACCTTTAACATGTCCAAAGAAAGCTGATGTGCAGGGGGATAAATGCTCTCAAGGGACAACAGGAGACAAGCCTGAAACAGCAGTAGTCTTGCTATTAATAAAACAGTTATATTAGTAGTACCATTTTAACCTTAAATTGGAAGTTATTAGTCCAATGCAGTGATTCTTAACAGGGGGGTTAAGGCACCCTAGGGTGCCACAAGGTGTGAGGAAGTAAGTGCAGGCTCACCTGGGCCTGACCCCTCTGCAATGAGATGAGCATTGTAACAGACTGTGAAATGGGGTGCTGCTCAGTTCACAAAAGTTAGGAAGTACCCCTCAAGTCTAAAATGGTTGAGAACAACTGGTCTACTGAAAGAATAAGTGGAGTCTGTAGCTTACATACCAAAGGCTTTGAGTCACTGAGCACATGGTACTGCAGAAACTGGTGAAGCATGTAAAACAGGTTGTGCTGAACAAGGGTTTTGATGACCAGCTCATACAGATAATGCTGTGAATGCAAGAAACAAGACTCACTTCTGGCAATCTTTTAAAAAGTGTGACTCAATACCAAGTCTTCAGTCAGATTGAGAGATTCTGTATTCTAAGCCACAGTACCAAGTAGGACCGAAATGTGCATAAAACTGAGTTCATGTTTTCAGTACCAATTTGTTTCTTACTATATTATGACCACCTTCAGAGTCCAAGTAGTGTCCCTACTGTTCTCAAATTGTCAATGTAACAGACTACCGGCACAGGGTAAACAAGGGGTTTGGTTTAACCTGATGGCCAAACCAGAGAGCCAGAGGCTGCTAGATTTTGTAACTGGAAGTTATGATATATTACTCTTGCACAAGCAGAAGCCTCTAAAGCAATACTGTAAGCAGTTTTGCAAACACTGATGCAGGGAATTTCAGGTAGCCATAGAAGACAATCTCCTTTGTCTCTGTGCCAGAGCAAGCTTTTGGTCCATACAAACATATGGACAGAGAAAGATACTCCTGCTAAGTTTTCCCCTCCAATTGTTTTTTTGAAAGCTTGGCTGCTGTTAGGGAGGACGGTTTCAGGAATCTGAAGTATCCCTACTGCTTTCCTAAGATTAGCAACGAAAGTAGTAGCCTAGCATAGCGTAAGCAAGCGTGCAGTACTGCTCAACATTACTAGAAGGTGCTTTACCTGAACTGCAATCTGGACCTGGTTAAGAGAACGAATGTATTCCATCAAGACTGCTATAGTGAACTTGTGAGGTGCTTCCTAGGCAGTAAGAGGAAAAAGTCAGAAGCCTGTAGTAGTGACTTGTGGATTAATGAAATAATTAGTACTAGTGCCTCACTTCTAGCAAAGCAGAAATCACTTAGTCTCACTAATCTTGGTTTTTCTCTCCCATATTCTTACAAGCAGTTTTGGTGTTCAATTAGTGTAGTCCACTAGATTAAGTTACCCACTACAGTTTATTTTGTTACTGCCATTCAGAAGCAGCACAGGTCTACCAAGACTTCTTCATTAATGGAGTTTCCTTGTTTGGCACTTAATTTCGTATCTCAAGTTCACCAAATTCCTTTACTAACCTTCTTTTCAGTAAATACTGACAGAACATGTGTGTACATGTCTGATTGGTCAATAACTGCTTGGGTACGCACTGGCCGTTTCAGGAGGGGGTTACTTCGACTTTGGCCTGCTTCCACTGCCTATGAAGACAAATCAAGTCTTAAAACAAAAACACTTGTCTTGTAAGGTGCCTTTATGCAGGTAGGGTTTCACCATCTCTTTTAAGGTTAACAGGACTATATGGCTGTACATTTAAATACTTGCTTTATTTTGTTTTATTTTCCCAACTACAGTGTTCCTGCCTTGTAGGATAAAACTTAAGAAAACAAATTTGATTTTATTCAGTAAGTTTGTTATAGGTAGGGCCTAGTTCTATTCAAGCTCTCCAATTTACCTTCAACAGAATAGTGTTTTGTATTCACATACATTGTTTACATGGGTAGCTGGATGTTAAATCCAAACATATTTAGCCTAGGTACAACTTAAAAGACAGGTAGGTGGCAATTAGTTTGGAAAAGTCAAAAGTGAATAATCACAATTGTTGACAGCTCTATAATGGCAAAAAGCTAAAGCACTGTCAAGTGGAAATTGTGTACAAGAACAAGGATAAAATGCTGGTGCTGTCTCAGAATGTCATCGTGTTTCTGCAACTCATTAAAAGTGTGGATACAGACTACTTACCAAGGTATAATTCTGCTCTGCTTCTAAGTACTTCTTATACTCATGGTTAAGTTTGTCAAAAACAGTGGCGATCACAGTCAATGATCCCCTCTCTGGTTCACTTAACACTGAAAGACAAGATGCTATTAATTCATGGGAAGAAGTGCCTGACATTTACAATAGATCTTTTATAGCTGCCAGAATATACCCAGTAATGTTTTGTTCCATTCACCTGAACTGAGTTGAACTACGTACAGAACGCACAGACTCAGCACAAGTTCAGAAAGTGCTCTTAGCTACTGCCTAATACACAGGCATCCTAAATTTGGACTACAGAAGTAACTGGAATGCAAATACTTTTTACTAAGATAGAGCTATTTCCTTCATTTAAGCATGCACGTAGTCTGTTACTTGTAGGAGACTGATCAAGAATACTGATTCATTCTCTTGGGCAAAAATGTGGAAATAAAAGTTTGTTATGCCAGAACTTGAAAAACCACCATTCAGAATCAATGACACACATGTATAGATTGCTTCCTGTATTCATGAGACTGAACTCCATGTAATGAACAGAAATAGCCATATCAGTATCTTCTATGAAGTGCTTCCTACATTGTCATAGATCTTGAAGTTGCCCACGTTCTGCTGTAGAGGAAATGCTCTATGGACCAAAGTTTGCCCCAAGCAAATGATGAATCAGGGTAGTTAGCCCTAAATTTCCAGAATGAGACAGGGAGACAATTAAAACTTACTCTGAGAACACACAGAAAGGATAACCATTTTGCATTCCTTTCTCTGGAGAAGAAAATCCATCAGCTTTCCTTTATCTGGCAGGAGATTAACAACAGGTTCAAGTTTCACCTGGAGATTCCAGAGATAACCTGGATTTGAGAGTAAAAAGTCTTATTCAAAAAACAACTAGCTCACTGTATCAAACAAGTTACATGCTAAAGTTTGAACTTGGCCTATGAAATGCCTTTCTTGGTTACTGACACATTATAATTTTCTGTATAGGTACCATCTGAGGAAAGATGTTTCTATACCCTAGCCTCACTCAAGTGACAAGCACATGATTATACCCAGTTATGTCAACTACTATGATATTCGATGCTAGTCATCTTAATGAATAATTCCATTAGTCATTCTTTTGACTTGGTGTTAGGAAAAGAATAAAAAGAACAGAACAGGAATAGAATTAACATAAGTTTCTGCATTTTACCCTATACACTAACAGCAATAGAGATGATTATTTTTGATCCCCTTGCTTACCTTCACTTGCACTGATTATAATATCAGGCTGAAAGACAATCCAGGAGGAGGAATCTTAATGTTAAAGAAAATTCTTAACTGAAACACCAGCCCATCTCTAGTATCAGGAATAGCTGTATATAAAGTCACACCATCTATCTTAGAAAAAACAAAGAACTCTTGCAGGCTGTCTGATGACTAAGCTAATGCAACCTCAGATCTTCAACACTGTCCCTTTTGTTTATCTTCCCCTATAGATCAGTCACAAGATGATTCCTTCATTTCCCTGTAACGTTTTAAATTAATGCATTACAAAAGGACTTTTCCTAGGCCTTCTGCAACACCAATGATGGGCACTGTTGTATTCATAAGCTTTTTTACCACTACTTACACTCCCAAAGTAGCAGAGTCTGGCATTAATGTTCAAAGTATCAGTCACCTACAGATTTGTTACAGAGTGGTTTTAGTGTAGAACTGCACTTAAACTCCGTTATTCACCAGAAAGGCAATATAGTAAAACAGTACAAGGTAGACAGGCAAACAAAAGTACAGGAATGAAAAAAAGAGGGAAGGGTTTTGTCAGGGAGCAGCTGTCAGTCTATCTGCTCTTACACTGTAAAACAGTGGTTCTTGATCTTATTTAGACTCAAGTTCCCCCATCAAAAGATGCAGGTTGTTTTTACTTGTTCTCCGACCACAGAAAAATAATACAGCAGTTCCTCTGTTGCAAAAAACTTGGACAGACCACAACATGTCAGAGTAGTTTTAACACTGTTGATTCCTATTAGAAATCTCTGGGCTTAACCTTGTGAATGACATTTGCATGCCTAGCAGTGCTAACATTGGTTGTCGCCCTGGGGCATCCCTGAAAGAATCTCAAGATACTCCAGGTTGCCATCGCACACTGGTTGAGGATCACTGCTCTAAAAGAAACAGGGCCAAGTCTGTCAAGTTTACTTTTCAGTTACCACACAGCACTTGCCTCATGATGAGTCCCTAACCAAGTGTTTGGTATACTGTACAAATTATTTGTTCTTCCTTTTAATAACCAATACTTGATCTCCCACTTGTTTTATTGCAAGCATCAGAAATGCTCTTAATTGTTGAAAATGAATAAAAATAAAGGAGTTACCACAGAATGACGCCAAGCTTTTTAAAGGATACAGAGTTTACAGGGAACAGGAGACTGACTAGTCACAGAAGCTGGACCTGCATATGGGAGAGAAAAAAAAAGTACGTGAAAGAAAAACTAACCTCAGAACAGATGAATTTCTCTGACAATATTCTATACTGAGTACTATACACTAAATCCTGAAAAACTGAAATTACAGCCTATGCAGCTGTAGTTGGCTCTACTTGTAGTTGCATGGTAATGCTAAAAAGAATCACAACCCATTTGATTAGAAACCAAGATGCCAAGTTTTGAAAAAGAAATGGGTGTTTAAGTGTATATGCATGCTAAACAGAAATTGTATCCCCCACTTCTAGTGTGCAACTCAGATTTCTGGCAACACTTAAGCAACGGGTTAATTTCAATATAAGCATTCCACATCTCTTCAATTAACAAGCTGTGATTTGTAACGCGTAATAAAGATGCTTCTCTCTTTTTGCTGGCTATTATACATGCACAAACACAAACACACATGTATTAGTTCTTCAAAAAAACCCAGAAGAGTGTTTTGTGTTCTAAAGTTTGACAGCCCTGTCTATCTGTTATTTTATTATAATCTTAAATACTTACTTATACCCTAAATATGTACAAAGGATCATGAGTTACGCCTTCTAGCATCAGCACCTACTTCCAGGTGACTTCAGGAGTAGAATTTTAAAAAAGGTCTTTCAAAAGATATCTTACTTCTCAGATAACACTGGCTACTCTGTACTATGCTGCTATATCTGGCCTTGGAAGGAACAGCTTAGCCCACAAAGAATATCTCAGCTGGGGTACAGCAGAAGTTTCTGCACCACCTCTAGCTTGTGTAAGGGGCCATGATACTTTTTCTGTTCTGGTTTTAGCACTAGAAGGTTGTTCACAGCAAGCCCTCGAGTTGCTCCTCTTTGTGCCTCTGGATGAGCTCTGTATTTCCGTCACCATAGCTCCAAAGCTTCAGAGCATGTGGCTGTGAATCAGAAGAGACAGGAGGAGCCACACTTTTAAAGGAACACAGAGTTACCTACGAACCAAGAGCCCACTGGACCTAGGCATACAATTTTCACACACACACTTGAGGACTTCAAATCTCAAGGGTGTTGAGAGAAACAAATTAGTATCTGTCTATATACCCATCTTCTCTTTAAACTCTGATGAAATGCACAGGAGGAGAGGAAAGATGGTCCCAGTGGGCAGGACACTCAAATTTAAGAGACACGGGGTTTGCAATGGACTTCTGTAACCCTGGGCAAGTAACTTCATCCTTGTGCATTACTTCTACCCACCTGCAATCTATAAGACAGGGATAGTAACAATTCTGTACTTTACCAGGTGGCAAACTATACTGAAGACTGATGTGCCCATGTGATTATGGGGACAAGATCCAGATAAATACCTTCACCTAATCAAAAGTATCACATGGTAGCTTTACCTGCCACAGGGATCTGATAGGGTTGAATTGATCGAGGTGGAAGTACAAACTGATGAACAGTAACTGACCCATCAAAGTCTCCTTTCAGCTTGATGTCAAATACAACAGATGTCTAAAACAGAAAAGAAATGTTAAAACAATGCATCACTTGTTTTCATGAGGAAAAGAATGTAACAAGAGCACATCTAAAGTTACTCATGTACAAATGTTTTGGGCATTTTATCTTCTGCTCTCATAACTTAGTAACATTAAGTACTCTTCTTGGTGTGAAGTGTTTCAATTAACGTAAGTATATTTTCCAGAATTACCACCTTCTGAAATGACTGTACACCTGCTCTAGCTTCAAAATGGAAACTAAGTTTTAATAATGTCAGCTTGAAATGGTTAACTGCGCACCCTTTGAAAAGACCTGCACTGCAGAAATCTTGTATTTCAAAGATTCTGGAGCAAATTTGATGCCCTATTTAAATTGTGATGCCCACTTTATATGCAAGTGCAGCATTTGGTGTGTGACCCAGATAGTATGGGAGAAGAAAGCATTGTGCTGTATGCTCACATGCCGATTTAGAAGTTAATTAAATCTTGGCCTACTAATGGGGCATATTATCCAAATTCTTTCTAGGCTGCCTGGAAGGGAGTTCACTTAAGAAACAGAAGCATTTTTGTAGAAGCTTCTTCCCAGCATCTCATGTCTTTTATCACGGACCATTAGCTTCTTGGGCTCTAATCCTAAATACTTCACATTCACTGAAAGTGCTAAGCACATGAATAAACTTACGTCCAAACTGGCCTCTCTCAATATATAACCCTCAGCTTGTATAGAATCTCGCAGCTGGGATTACAAGGGTCTTGAAGTTAAGAACTCCTAAACTTAAAAACTAGAAGGGAGGGTAATTAAGACATGGTTTTTTACCTCTCAAATATTAATGAAGGAATTAAAAACATACATTAACAAGACACTGATACTAAGTTACACAGGTAACTCAAAGAAGCAGGGAAGAGACAGGACTCCAATACGAATGTGACATTCAGCTGTGCTGCACATCCATTTTGTTAATGGGATACATTTATAAGGTGGTTTCACTGAAACATTTGTTATACTTAAGACTGCTCATGCAGCCCCTATCATCTATGAAAAGTTATCCGAGTGATTAACTAGTAAAGCAGTAGTCGCTTTCAGACTTCCAGGACAGGTCAAACAGCATATATAGTGATGGCCAAGGGGCAGGATTTTATTACTAAAAAAATATCTAAGATGACCAATTAGCTTCTGATTAGAAGCAAATATTTTTCCTTCCTAAACCAAGGTATGGCTTCAGTGAGGATTATGGAGGTAATTTTGGGAAGGAAGAGGTAACTTAAGACACCAATTCCTGTTTAGTAGCAGTAAACCATCAAATTCTTTCCGGAAGAGCTTCCTGTTCATTTATGAAAGGCTTCACAGTTCAGCCATTTTTCCTACAGCTTTATTTAATAGTTGCATTTGATTTCAATTATAAAAATGTGCTGGGAAGAATGGCAGAACTGCTTCCCAGATGCTGCCTTAAAACACTCCTCCAAAGTAAATTTCATTTTCAAGCCAAGAGCTGGGCATCCAGAAAGGTGAATGTTTTGGAGAGTTGGGACCATTTTGAGAATTTACAAACAAATCAGATGTTAAACTGACTTAGCTGCATCTATCCAATATAGTAAAATCCCTGATATCCGGTGAGTGGGGAATAGGGGGTGCCAGTAATGTAAAGATGCCAGTTACTTGAAGGCACAGGGTTTCCAGCCAGATGTGGAGCAGGGGGTTGTGGAGGGTGGCAGCAGCTGCCCATGAAGCGGTGGGTGGGGAAGGGGTGATGGCAGCTGTCCATGGAGTGTGGGGAATACAGGATGGTGGGTGGCACTAGCAGCACCCGTGTGCAAGCTTTTCCGCCTGTCCCTCTCGTGTCCAGCCGGAAATTCTAGTTACTAGAGTGTGCCGGTTAGTAAAATCCCAGATAACAGGGATTTGACTGTATTTCATGCTCCCACACAAAGACAGAAGTATAAACACAAAAAACCCCACCCCAACCTTTTGAATATATGAAATTCTGAACTTAAAACACCTTTTTAAATAGTACATGCTATTTATTCCCATGCACAGCTTTTGAGTTTAGGATGTGGATAAGACTAAGCATGCAGACACATGACATGTTTACTCTGCAGAATATGTTGAGTGCATACACAACATACAATCTTACACTGATGTAAGTCACTCCACCTGGAGGTAGTTATTTTTTGGAAAGCAATGAATGAGTATTCTGACAATTTCAGTACGAGGTAGCTCTTTGCTCAAAGCAAACCAGTTCTTCCATCACTTAGTGGCTACAGCAGGCAGTTAGTTCAGGTAAATTGGCCATGTTTCTATAGCTCACTATGGAATAAATTTACTACAGAGCAAAATACAAGATAAACAACTCTAGCAATTGTCAGATATCCACACACCGAAAAAAAATTAAGATCACCTTCCAGGTACAAACATTAGAATGCCAAGTTACAATTGTATAAGTCTTTTTACAAGCTTAACTGAAAACACTCAATGATTGAACCAATTTTGCAGATTTAGCCATTAAAACCTTCATATCAAGTTCACCATTTTTTGCTCAAAGAACCACATTTGAGACAAATAATAATTAACACCCCCCAATCCCCCCACCAATGAAAAAGGCATTAGAACCGAAGCAACAAGAAAACTGGCATCCCTTATAATTATGGAACAGGATTTCTAAATTTCAAATATTTGCCATATCCTTACAAATTACTTCAGTACACATGCAGAATTATTTAAAGGACTGAGCCTTCATGACCAGAAGGTCCAGAGACTTTAAAAAACCAAGCAGATCATACCTCAGTATCTTGATGATGAACTACCACCAAGTTATCCACAACATTCAGAGCAAACTTTCCTGTCCTGCTCAATTTTAATATGTGCATCTTCTTACAGGAGCCTTCCCTACGAAAAGGTTATCAGAGATAAGATGTACTAAACAGCTACATTAAAAGAACAGCCAAGTCAGGCAACAGACAAACCTACTATATGCAACTTACCTTGGTAAGTGATAAAGTACTACCTCTGCACCTGTACTATTGGAGGTCCTTGAATGATGCCTCAAATAAAGAACATAAAGCTGCCCATATCTAACAAGACAAAAATTAAAATTTATTTATTTTTAAACAACTAGCAAAGAAAACCTAAAAATGCCCTTTCTGCAGGGAAGGTAACAAGCTATACTCCTGCTGTATTGTAATCTCTCACAGCCGCTATTTTCCTACCTGTAACGCCATGTTACTTTTCCATCATAAGACAGCTTACTGTATTTTCCTGCATACAACATGCACCTTTCCCCCAGAAATTCTCCCAAAATTGGGGTGCATTTATTAAGGAGGGAAACTGATTTTCTATCCAGGATAGAAGCACCCCACTTTGATCCTGAGCTATACTGCAGCTGCTATACCATTAGTATTCAGGTAGCTGAAGGAGTCAGTTGACTAAATGGCTTGTTGTTTTTCACTCCAGAGGTATTAATGATCATCTGTCTTCTGTTTTTTTTAATTGGTCTTGATGTTAAATTGATTAGTGGAACATTTCTTAGGGCTATTTTGCTGTCTGCTCCTGGTCTGTCTCCTCCCATTTTCAGTTAAGCAGGAAAGGGTGCCTGAGTCAGTTAAAAGATTAGGTTCTGTCTCTGTTCTTTGCAGCCATAACTCTGGGAAACAAAATCTTTTCTCCTTCATTCTGTCTTTCAAAAAGAAGGTGTTTATTATACTTCAGGGCATACTGTATGCAAGAAAATATGGTATATAAAAGTTACACATCTGGGAGATGGGGAAGGGGGAAAGATTCAATAATCCAGGTCAGACATGTCTGTGTAAAACTGTATACAAGAGAACTTTTACCAGGCAGTAAGAGAGGCTCCTACACATCTTAAATCAGATCTGTTAATTTTATAAAATTATTCTTTTGGAAGCCTCTATATTTAGCATGGAACTGAACACTTGAACAACCCTCCAACAGAAAACAAAAGCAGGGTAGCAAGTACAATTATGCTGTTGTGACTGGATGGATGCTTTCTTTCTCCATCCACAAACAGAAGCACAGGAAGAAGCTGATCACTCAGCAATACATACATTGTTGCCAGTGCAATATCTCTTTCACAAAGGCTGAGTTTCGAGGATTTGGGTGCTGCAGGCAATTCAATTTCAAACTTTGATAATTTTGACATTGTTACTCCCTGTTTGAAAAAGAAGAGAATGTTACTTTTTCTCTAGATTAGAGACAGCTTTCTCATTTAGAAGGGACTTGTGGTTGTGTTGCTAGCACCCACTGGTGGTGAAAACTGGTGATGCCATTTCAGAAGAGAGGATTTTATTGCAATCAACTGACTTCCTTGTCTTGTGGCCCATAACCCCGTTTTACTTGGTACTATATACATGTTCAGCAGATGGATTACAGTAAACAAGACCCCAACAGTGCAGGAGGGAGTGGGGCAGTCATGAATGGGGTCCCCATCATGCTGGGACAGATTGGAGCCCAGCGCCGCTGTAGGCTGCGCTCTGCCTCTGTTCTGAGAGCAGCACAAGTCTGAAGCCATGTGTCCCGCCGCTGGCAGACCTCCCTCACCCCATGCAAAGATCCAGGGTGTGTGCACGACCCCCATGCCCTCCCAGGGTGTGTGCAGTGGCGGGAGCTGCCACCCATTCCCTGTGCCAGGCACCCCCCAGACAGACCACTTGCAGCTGTCCTGCGCGCCTGCCCTGGCTGTGCAGGGCCTGCCCCAGCCCCAGCCCCTCCCTCCCTCACCACTGTAGAGGGCGTGGGAGGGGCAGATCGAGGCCCCAGCAATGAGGGAGGGAGCAGAGCACATGCAGAAGCAAGGGCTGGGGCGAGCGGGGGCCCAGCCAAGCTGGGTGGTGGGACAAGTGGAGGCCTGGCAGGGGGAGGGCGGGCACATGCCCCCCAATTTGTGCACGGGGCAGAGGTAGCTGCTGCTGTGCTTTGCTCCCCTGCTACAGCTGCTCTGGGAGCAGCCCCAGGAATGCCACGTGCCTGCTGCAGCACCAGCCACTTCCACCTGTGCACAGATCGGGGAGGCACAAGCCTCCCAGGCCTCCACTTATCTTACCACCTGGCCCAGCCAGGGCCCCACTCACCCTAGCCCCTGCTCCTGCCTATGCCCCGCTCCCTCCCACACTGCTAGGGCCTTGATCTGCCTCCTCCTCCCCATGGCCCTTTCCCCTCCCCTCACACCCCCACAGATTTCCCTGCTGGGGGTGGGGGCGGGGAGTGGACATGCGCACACATTCAGCTCCCCCAAATAATTTCTTTTCCCTCCCTTTGCCTATGCTCTCTCCCTTGTGGGTTACTACCTAGAGAAGCTGGTATGTTTTAGCCACATTAGATAGGGATTTTTTGGTGGGGGGAGGGAGGGGAAGTAGGAAGGAATAGGGGAAAGGTGTCTTTGTCCTCCACAGCTTTTTTAATTGTTGCTGGGAGCAGATTTCTATCTGAAAAAATGTAGTAATCCTCTCACCATCATCAGACCACCAAAATGCGTAGTACTGATTTGGTTCCTGTCACATTCACCTTCTGTCAACTCCCCAGATTAAATCTGGGTCACTTACCCCATGATAGCTTTCCTATCTAGCATTGGAGCAACTCCTTCAATGTTATAAAACAGAATTCCCCCTCTCCTGTAGGTCCGGAAGGAAAAGGAAAACTGGTTTATAGTCTGACCCCACCCCTTCCCCACTGTTTGATGTTTTTGAGAGGGGAAGGGACTGAACGCAAAGCCAAGCAAAGCAAAGGAAAAACAAGATAAGGGGTGAGGGATAAAAGAGAATTACACAAAAAGCCTAGCAGGTCAAACAGTATTCACAATTGGGATCGTATCTTTTACCTTGAAATAGAATGGCTGGAGGACATTGCCAAGGACTGTGGTTGATAGCAGAATGACGGAACTCTCAGGACAATACATATACCAGTTGACATTAATATTTTGACTTTTCAGGAGTTTTAAACTTCGCTTCTCTGGCAATACCTAGAAACAAAGAAATATTACGATCATTAATAGCACAATAACATCTGGTAGCCCCTCTTGGATAAGTGTTAATTCCAGGCAGATAAAAAGAGCAGTTCTAAAATACTGGAGTTTTGATTAAAAAACAAAGAAACGTTTCACAATTTATGCTGAGACCTAAACATACTGAATTATTGTTACTATTATTTTAAAACCTCTTTTGTATCAGTGAACTATCCTGTAATTTAAATTAAATACAGGATCAGGAAACACACAACTTATGATGTCTCTGAAGCCATAATCAGCTTTGCAATATTGTGTGTCACATGAATCAGTTTCAGTCTCCCCAAGAGAGAAAATTTTTTGGTATTTACCGCCCTTCAAATGCCAGTCCTTTCAGTTTATGTTGGGCCAAAAAAAGAAGAGAAAAGGTTTTGCCTTAATTCCTCTTGCTTTAACTTCAAACTAGCAAATTCAGACAGAATATCCTCTTTTTTTGGACTTAGTTGAAATGTGAAAGTCTGATGGGGAGTTAACACACAGGAAGACCTATTCCACCTTCCAATTTCCTAATTCTAAAGAACTCAAAAAGAAAATGGAGCGGGGATTTCAAAACCCTTGAAAATCCAAAGAATGAAGTCAGTCCAACAAGGCTTCCAAGTGACAAGGCAGTTTTGAAAAGTATGAAGTGCCTACATGCTTTTTTTAGAAGTCAATTAATCATTTTTAAAATTGTCTTTGTTTAGCAAGTAGCAATTTATTACACCAGGTTAGTTGTATTTTGTTTAAAAAAGATACTCTTTGTGCAATTTAATTTACTCTAATCTTCATCCAAGTACAACATAATATACAACATAAATAAAAAAAAAATACTGAAAAGAGAAATGCATCATAATTTTCTACCAAATACAAAACTGAATGAATGACTATTGTATTATATGACTGCTTAAATTCCTCTGCACCCTCCAATTACCAAAAGTTAACTGGAAATGTAGCATAAACACGATGCAATAAAAATTAATTGCTAATCAATGAAAATAACCCTTGCTTTAGGGAAAAGAATAAAAAAGCACAGATGCAAAACAAGAGCAGAACCTTGTATTCAAGTATGGCTTCCTGCTTGCTTTTTTAAATCCCCTGGACTGCATATATGGAAGACAGTCAATGAATACACTCTTGAATATGCAACTTTAACTGCTTTATATTGCATTACATTCAGTATTCCAGGTTTGTTATTTTGTATACAAGTTAATATCTGCATTAAACAGGTTTATTAAAGCCAGAGCTGCACTCACTACAGTAAAATTCAGTCTCTCATTGAAGTGTGCTATCTGTTAATTGCCTGCTATAAAAATCAAGTACTACACTTTCCACTCTCTAAAAATAAAAAATGTAAACTTGTCCAAGACAAAACATTCATTCTTTTCTTTTCTTCTTAGTTGCCAGTTGTTTTAGTTTAGTAAAACTAAAAACAGGTAAAAATCATAGGTTTGGAAGTACCTTGAGGGTCATCTGGGCACAGCTCTCTACACTAATGCAGGGATGGTATTCATATGTCATCCATGACCAATGGTTATCCAGCCTCCTCTGGCAAACCTCCAGTGAGGGAGATTCCACAACTTCCCTGGGCACTCTACTGCACTGCATTACAGTAGGGAAGGTTTTCCTGAGATCTAATCTAAATCTACTTTCTTGCAATTTAAAGCCATTGCTTTATATTGTGCCCTCTGCAGCCTGGGAGAAGTTACTCTTCCTCTTCTTTATGAAAGTCTTTTAGTTTTTGACAACTATTATCACATCTTTCCTTAACCTCCCTTTCTCCTAGTTAAAACCTACCTAGTTCTGTCACCCTTTCCTCATACAGTTTGCTTCCACACCCTTTACCGTTTGGTTGGGGTCCATCTCTGGCCCCTCTGAAGCTTATACACATCCTTCTTAAAATATGGATCCCAGAACTGCACACAAGATCTAACAAGTTCCAAGATCAGAGTAGTCCCCCATATCCTATACCTAATACTCCTATTGATGCAGTCCAAAATTGCAATTCTGTTTTTGCAACAGCATTGCATTGCGGACTCGCACTGAGTCTGTGATCCACCCAAATCCTCAGATTCTTCTTAGCTATTCAGTGTAGTAAAACTAAATAGTGCAGTAAACAATTAGTATGGTAAAGAAAATGACTGCTATCCAGTCAGTTATCTTCCATTCTATAGTTGTGCATTGGGTTTTTCTTCCATATACTAGCCAACGGCCCATCAAGAATGACTGGGGGTGAGGGAACAGAAGCAGGCAGGGAAGGAGCCCCGTGCCGTGCCCCCCTCCCTCCAGGCTTGCTTCCCTCTTGCTGCTTGGGGTCCAGGCCTGCTCCCCCTGCCTCCCTGCTGCTGCTGCATTGGGCCAGGCCTGCTGGTCCCCCCTCACCAGCGTGGCAGGTCAGTTTCTCTCCCTGCTCAGGCTCGCTCCTCCTCCTCCCCTCCCCACACATCAGGCCTGGGCTCACTCCACCCCTCCCTCCACCTCCACAGCATGCCCCCTCCTCCCCCCACCACCACTGCACGGGCCCTGCACATGGTGACAATGGAAGAAGAGAGGGGCAGGCTGAGACCAGTGGCGTCAGCCCCCTGCAACATCCTGACCCCTCCACCATTTCCAAGGAGCAAAACAGGGGTGGGGGCAAGGCCAGCTCCAGTGGCCTCCCCACACTCTGCTCCATCGTTATCATCTGCAGGTAGCCACCCCAACCCTAACCTCCCTGTTCCGTCCACTCCATTGCCGCTGCCTCTGGGGAGCAGGGCAGGGGGGAGGGGGCAAGGCCAGCTGTTTTGGCCTCGTCCTACCCCTGCTCTATCCTGTGTTCCCACCATTACGGTGGCACTCCGCTGCACCACCGCCTCCTGTCCGACCACTTCTTTGCATTCTTACTGGCTGTTTGTCAGCCAATTAGAGTGTGAATAAAGTGTTATGGACAGACAGACAGAACAGACTAAGGCTTTTATAATATTAGATAGACATGGCACGCTACATTTGCCTACACTGAACTTCATTCTGTTGTCTCTAGCCCAGTTGAGTACAGATGAGATGTTCAGAGCCACAAAAGACAGAAACTTTTTTAAGCAAAAGAATTAACATTTTTTAAAGTTAAAACGTGCATTTTTCATAAGACAATTATCTGCATTACCTGATAGAACTCAATTCCTTGATCTGTTATGAAGACAATTTCTGTAGAACTTGTCCAGCAGAATCCCAAAATGTTGGCATTCTTGGTCTTTCATTAAAAATACAATCAAAATTTAGTTGAAAAAAATTTAGCATTCACATAAATTAACATCTTCATGAAAAACTTTGTTAACTAGCATCTCATGTAGTGCAAATTAGCTGTTCACCTGATGACAAATAGGTATTGGCTTGTCTAGACACCCTGGATTACTGATGCACAAGAATCAGTAATAGGCAGCCTGCTATTATGAATTTTGGATGTTACCAAGAATATAACTCTATCTTCAAATAAGGATTTTTTGGCACATACAACTAAACTCAGTTTGGGATATCAACACAGTTCAATCCACAGACCATCAGCACTCAAGCTGAAGGATGTAAAAGATTTCCATTAACTTCAGTAGGCAATGAATTAGGCCCCAAGTCCCTCAGCAGGAAACAGGAAAGCTGTCTATAGCACCATATGGATACACTGTGCCCACCCTGAACATGCTACCTCCCAAACCAGAATTACACAGTTGCCCTAGTGCTGGGCTGCACATGTGCCAACAGGCTCTGTTCAGACACAGCTAGCCCACATAAATCATTCACAGTGTGTAGAGATACACAACAGTTTATAAACCTCTTAAGTAAGCCAGCTGTTAAGAGAGTGACAAAGGCCCATTGTCTCCCAGGGTGCATTACTCTGACACAAGGCCCCCATACTACAAGGTGGGGAGTGCCCGCTGACATCAGTGTAAACAGAGTGCTCAGTAAACTGCAGGAAGTTCTCAGTACCTTGCACAGCTGGATCCATATGTCATACCCACGAAACTATTGGAAGTATGATTATTTTATTAATGCTTATGGAAAATAATCTAGCTCAAACTTGTCATTCTGAAATTTCCCTAACAACTGTGATGGTCATAAACAGATAAAGTCTGAGTGAATCTATTCAGTGCTGGTATGACTCTTTAACCATCTTACTGAAACTGCACTCGCTCTCCCCTCTATGGCAGCCTGTGCTGGTTTCATAGCGTTTCCAGTCCTCCTTGGGCAACAGGAAATTGGTTGAGGGATTGCTAATATAAGGTTACCAACTTGTATTTTGACTGTGGTCAGTCGCTGTTACCTATTCATTAAACATTAGTTAAATGGAGCATTTGGAGGAGGTGTTTTAGTCTGTTTGTATGAACTGTACTGGTGGGTTTTGGTAACAAGAATATCAATTAGCATTAGCACTTCATTTACTCTAATCACGTTTGAAATTTATTAACAACATACCTTGCATTCTTGTGTATATTCTAGCTGAGGGCTGTCTGGAATAAAATTCAAGAAGTCCTGAAAAAAAATAAAAAGCAACATAGAGGTAGATAAGTAATTAGGCTGAACTTAATCCAATAGTTTCAACTCCTGTTTTGTGCTCAAATTAATCAACTCTACCTACTTTGGATTCAGTATGATTAAACACACACACACACACACACTCTTTTCCACTTTGAGGAATAATCCCATTATGAAGTTGTTAGTGCATGTCATCACTTTCATTTTTAAGGACGTAACTTTTATGTCTGAATCATTCCTCCTCCAGCAAAAAAATAGTTCTGGAAAGGCTAGGAAACAAGTTTCAGCTCAGAACAGTCAAACTCACACAAGAGAGTTAGTCCCCCATGAAACAGATCAGTAAGTTTTACAAAAAAACAAATCTAGCTTTTTGTGCATGCTGAAGGCATGATATTAATGTCTGATGGCTTAGCTGCTAAGGAGATCCAGGGAGTTATTGTTAGCCAGAAAAATACTCCTTTAGCTGGTATGGCAGAAGCCTGTGATTTGGGACCCGATGTGCCAGAATTCTAAGGCTCCTTGTACGCTTAAATCTAATTTCTTACCACACTCTTTGAAGTTCTCTGAACAGCCAAGATCTTATTCCCCAAAGAAAACTTGATGCATTTCACTTCCCCTTTATCTTCCATCCTATAAAAAAAGAAAAAAAAAATATGGAAGGGCATTTTTCTAATGTAATCATTATTTGTTACAGGAGACTGACTGGTACTAGTTCTCTAATCCAAATTCTAATCTAATCAATCCTCTAACCTATTTCTATACATGGTCAAAAGACAAAAGGCTAGACACTTCTAGTTCAACTAATATGAAATGCCAGTGCAACAGAAACTCTCTATTTCTGATTAATTAATGAATGCATTAGAAACATTATGGTGGTATGAATGATTATAACTAACCCACGATTTGATAATCTTCAAAACAAAGTGCTCAGTCTTGTTTTATGAAATGGAATTACAGAGTTATGCAGTTTTTTTGTGCAATTAGTAATGGCACAGTTAGCATGAAATTCAATTACACTGAGAGCTGAAAAGGAAGATCATTTAGGCCCTGTATATCCTCAAGTTCCCACTTACATTATGCAACAGGTCCCTTTGTGTTCTTAAAACACACACACTTCCTAACTGGAAAGAGCCCAACCACTTTTGCGTAAGAACACTCTTAATTCTTGGAAATGACACAAAAGGGCAATTCCCACTAGGAAAAAAAGTTGCATTTTTAACCACATTATATTAACATTCAGCAAAATCTCAGAGTGCAAAAGGCATTTATAGTTTTAATGCATGCCAACAGCTTAAAGCAGCCATGAGTGGAAAACCAGTCAAATGTGATATACGGATTTACAGATCCAACACTCTTGTATACCAAGAACTAAGTTTCCTGAAACTTACAAACACATTCAACTCCCCTGATAGCACACCTTGGATTTCAGGCACTAGGGCTACTCTGTGCCGACTACACAGGGTTCTCTCACATAGAGAGCAAAATGACATCCTACCAAACGCATATACTATCATCGTAAGTTTACTGATTTCAATTACTATTGCCTGAAAATGTGTTAGGAAGAAAGGAAGAAATACAACAGTTTTTTTTTTATTTTTTTTATAGATGTTATGTGATATCCTAACGTGGCAAGTTTCAGTAAAAGCAAAAGATAGACAATACAGACAGCTGTGATATCAAGTTATACTTAACAAGCGGTTAAAATACAGGTGAAAATACTTAGCTGAACATACCTGAATGAAATGGGATTCTTGTCCTCCAAGCCTTTAACAACCACCCCTGTGGCTCCACCAGATCGAACAGCAAAAACCTAACAGTTAAGCAACAAAAAAAATCAGCTTGAGGCAGACAGCTTCATGGACTTCTTAACATCACAGTCACTACAAGCCCTAATTCTGTGATGCCACACATTTTGTTTTTTACCTAATATAGTTTTAATCTGTTCAGCAATCTAAACAACACACTTTTGAATTCCTATTACCATACTAGCTTATCTCCCCTACAGATCCAAGTTCACATTTTGCTTAGACTAAACTTATTTTCATTGACATATCTTGACTGACAGCTTAACATCAAACAAAGAAATAGCATGGCAAAATTACTTCAAAATTGCAAATGGTAAATTTAGTTTATCCCAGTAATTTAGCATCTCTTTAAAGATTTAAGGGTAGGGCTTTCAGAAGTGCCCAAGTCAACTTGGTACTGTGAAAATAAAAAAGTCTCAACATCAGTCAGTTCCAAAAAACAAATCAGTGGGTGCACCTATATAAGCAATTAAGGCAGAGCAATAAATTCTGGCACAAATTGCTCCTGGGTGGAGAGTCTACAGCACTCTGGACTGCAGCACTTTGCACCAGGGTGGAGCAGCCCTGGGCTGGTAAGAGGCCCAGGGGATCAGCCCCAGGCTCAAGGTGGCAAGTGTTGGATGGCTGGATAGGGCACAAGGGTGTTAAAGTGCAGGGCTAGGCAGCAAGCAGCCCCCATACATCAGCATCCTTGTGCCCCAGCCAGCACCCGTCAACATCTACACATGGGTTTCAGCCCATGCAAGTACTCTGCCGTAAGATAGTACTGTCCCTGACAGTAGTATATTATGGCGTAGATAATTAATTTACTGTGCCCTAATACTGGCACACATGTAGAAGGTGACGCTTTACTGCAGAGCCAATTAGTCTACTCCACAGTAAAGCACACATGCAGCACCCAGTTATTCTTCTCCCTTTAAGGCCTGCAGAATTTAGTGGGGAATTATAAAATATAAAAATAAGTGTGGAGCTAAAAGAAAAGCAATTGAAGCCTTCCCGTTACAGAGTGGATAACAGCAACACATTTTACATCAATTAAAGCCATATGGCATAGGGTAGTAATGCATTTTTGCTTCCTGAAACTCAAATCGGGACATGTCAAAGACCCCCAGTGTAATGCTGAAGATACATGGGCCAGTACAATTCTCAGCTACATCAACAGAGGAATATCCTAAAGGAGTTGAGACAGGATGTTACCCTACACTTAGGTAAGACCATAACTGGAATAGTATGCAGCTCTGATCTCCACAGTGGACAAATGGAAAGAATTTAGAAAAAAGCTCCAAGAAAAACTGAAGCTTTAGATACAGTGAGTGCCAACCAAGGTTTTCAAAGAAAAAGCAAAAGGTGTGAATTATAACCAGATTAGTTTCCTTGGTGGAACACAGTGGCCGTAATATGTAGGCCACTGACCGACATTAAATCAAAGGTGCAATGGCAGCTAATGCACAATCCCAACAACTGTATTTCCTGATATCCTGCGTGTGCATGGCAGGAGACGTGACTGTATAATCCAGCATCAGATCCCATCACACCATAAGTGTGCAGGGGAAGCCCAGGATCAAATAGCAACCTCGGTTCTCTGTGCTGGCCAGGCTGGGAGCCCTGGTCAGCTGATCACAGCTCCCAACTGGGGGATCAGAAAGGAGCCTTTGGCTTTGATATACTCTCAGAAGCTGGAAGTCCCAATAGTGCATGGAGTCTTTGGCTCTGAAGTGCTCCCTCAGCTGGAGGTGCCCAACAGTTGGGGGAGCACAGAGCCAAAGGCTCCCCTGCCTGGGAACTCCAATCAGCAAACTGGTACTCCCAGCCTCTGGAGCACACAGGAGCTGAAGAGCTCCAGTGTGCTCTGGAAGCACTGGCCACATATTCAATTAAAGACGTGATAAGAACGAGCAACAAACTTATTACACATTCTGCAATAATAACAACTTTGTGGCATATTCCCCATTTTACTGTCCCATCAACTGAGTGTGGCCAGTTCACTAAAGACATGATTAACCAGCTAATCATGTCTAAAGCGTAACATCTGAATGACTACTTTGCTTCGGTATTTCACCAGGCCAAGGGGAACATCATGCCAGGTAGGGTGCAGAATGAGCAGGGTAGGAATGACCACCTTCCTACTATTGCTGTAGAACTGGTGTGAGATCAATTAAAAAAAAAAATTAGACATATATAAAAATCAGCAAGACCAGATGAACTCCATCTGAGAGAGCTGAAGGAGCTGGCCACAGTCATTGTGGAACCCCTGGCAAAATTCTTCCAAAACTCGTGGCGCTCTGGAGAGGTCCCTGAGGACTGGAAGAGGGTCAATGTTGTGCCCATCCACAAGAAGGGCAGGAGGAAAGACCCCGGTAACTATAGGGCAATTAACCTAACTTCCATCCCAGGGAAAATTCTGGAAAATTTCATCAAGGAGTCTATCTGCGATAAGCTTTCAGAAGGTAGGTTTCTGGACAACAGCCAGCATAGCTGCGTAGCCAGCAGGTCTTGCCTCATCAACCTTTTTTGACCAGGTAACTTGCCACCTGAACAAGAGAAAGGAGGTTGACGTTGTATATCCTGACTTTGGAGAAAGTCAGAGGATTGTGGGCTTAACGCCAAGACAGTCAGGTAGATGGGAAACTGGCTATAGCATAGGACCCACAGAGTCCTAATGAATGGATCTGTCTCGTCCTGGCGAGAAGCGGCCAATGGTGTCCCACAGGGGTCAGTGCTTGGTCCAGTACTTTTCAACATCTTTATCAATGATTTGGATGTGGGGTGAAGAGCTCACTAGCCAAGTTTGCAGACAACACCAAGGTATGGGAGAGCGCAATCACTCTTGAAGATAAGCTATAGATCAGGGGTGGGCAAAATACAGACTGCAGGCTGGATCCAGCCCACAAGGCCATTCTATCCAACCCGCAGGACCCCTAAAAAATTTAGAAAATTAAAATTTATCTGCCCTTGGTTCCTGTCAAAAATGACAGGAACCAAGTGCCGTAGGACCCAAGGGAAGCCCAGTGGGCCCTGCCCCCCCCCCCCA